TCAGAACCCACGCATTATTCTCTGAAACTGTTTGAGAAATATTTTGAATAGCAAATAAATTTAGGGAAACTGCAAAATGTTCATGGACAATAAACATGTCAAATAAATGTATTCACTACAAATGATTTCCTCATCTTTATTGAGCCTTGGGTAAGCTACCTTCACAACCATTAAAACCTCAATTATGGAACATCCAGCCTGCTTGTGAAGGAAAATAAAGGAAAAGAGGTTTTGTCTTTTCACTATGAAATCATATTCCTCTGTTTTACATATGCTTTGTCAGACCCAGTAGAGACAATTTACAGAGTCTTAGAGCTTATCTTATCAAGCCTGCAAAATCCAACAGCATATTAATTTCCCCCTAGGATATTAGTTTGGGTTTAGATTCCTTATGAATGTTGACAACCACATATACTCTGTAGGCCAAACTGGCCAAATGTACTGATTTAATTTGGGGCCCCAGAGTGCATCAATGGAAGCTTTTGACAATAATGAGCTCAGATAAGAGAATCACTGACAACAAGGGGTATGGCTTCCTTGAAGATGAAAATCTCAAATCAATTGCAATCGCATTGTTTTTATCTATTCCCATAAGTTAAAAACAAGGCAGGCTTCTGTGTGGATTCAGAGCCAGAAGCTTTTCCCCCCCCCAAGCATCTCATCCCAAAGAAGAATATCAGAACTCTTTTTGTAAGCACAGTGGGGCCTTCCAAAATGATTCGCATTAAAATGGTGAAACACTGAAATAAGACCATTGGGCCTTTTCCGCTAAAAGTTCCACTAAACCCCCTTTATACCACTCTGGCAGTATAAAGGGACCTTATAGTAGCCATGAAGTATTGATACCTACTTTAAGGTCCTTTTACACTGTCAGAAAGATATAAAGCATGGGAAGAAATCCCTATAATCATCCTCCAGGCCAGCTCATGGTCTTGCAAATCCCTTCTTGAAACTTCTCAGCCAAGGTGCCTTAAAAAACCTACATGGTCAGGCAGCTGATGTGCAGTGATCACTGCCATTACAACGCGCTGGCATCTCTTTGTATCCCACCTGTTCGTTTGCTGTATCCTCCTGTAGTCTCTTGCCTTACACGTCGATTGTGAACGCTCTGGGGCAGAGTCAGTCTATTTGCTCTGTGTCTGTACAGTGCCTACCACAATGGGGTCCATGACTGGTGTGACTGCAAATCCAATGATTAATTCGTATTAATCATAAATTGGTCTTTAGTGTAAAGGAGAAGCAGGTTCATTATTTCTTATTCCATTGCTAACATTTTCAGGCTCTAATCCCATTCCATTGGTAGGTGGGTTTGCTGCTTTTTCAGGGGCTACCTGAAAAAGATTTGAATGTGGATATTGTATTTTTCTGTGTCTGGTTGGTGTAGAAACAGGGACTCCCATGTGCATGTGAAGGTTGCAGGAAATGATGCGCACCTTTCCTTGGCTGCAGTCTAAGCCACTGATCATATATTAGTGTTTAGCTTGTGCCTGCTTTTAGGATAAGAAGGGCTGAGTGCCCATGAATTAATAATTACATAGGGCTAATATTCAGAGGTCCTGAGCACCCCCACCGCCCCCGATGATTTCAGCCAGAGCTGTGAGCTCAGCACTGGTGAGGATCAGGCCCCTGGAGAATGGAAAAGATCGTTTCAATAGTCTCTAAAGCGGCACACCCTCTAGATATAGATTTACCTCAACCATTTCTTAGAGAACGTACCAAACTGGAACCATGCAACTGTTAATTAAAAATGAAGACCGTTCCATTGTCAAAACGCAGTCGCAAAGTGTTGCCTGTTTAAAAAGCCATTTCTGTTCGCCGTTCCAAGGGCACTCAACGCACATTCTGCCAGGGTGGCCAAGCAAGGCTACGTGTCCTCCAACAACCAGAGCTTGGATATTGCAAGTACAATAAGTGAAGATGCTCAGAGACCTTGCTAAGCCTTTAAGACCTCAGCCAATGACAAATGACTTCATTACAATGAAAGCAGCCAAGACACAAATGGAAGAACCCAGGGAGAAGCAATCCAGTTTAAACCAGCTTGGGAAGAACAGAAGATTCTGTGCTTCACATAAAGCATTTTTTTTTGCAGCTTGTAACACAGCGGCTTCTTCTGCGCTTTCGTTAGCACTAACATGTACAGGTTGTCTAAGAAGTTAGATGTGTGATTACATGCCTAATCTGTGTATCCACTCAATGCTATTATCCCCTAGGGACTGCTCCACCAGCAAAGAACTGGACAGAGCACTGCATAGGTCACCCTGTCTCATTCCACCCCTGATGTGCCCCTGCCTCAAATATATAGGGAGCATGCTGAGGATGTGAGGAGCTAGGGCCAGGTGCTCCAGCTGGTATAACTTACCACAGCCTTTATGCCCTATGTTATGCCAAGTCACATGGCATTGTTTCTAATCCCTGATTGGGCAACTGAAACTTTTAGAAGAGGAGAATGATTAATAGTGAACATCCAACCCTAGATGACACACCTTCCTGTGGGACTATTTTGGAGAAATAAAAACTCATGTTAAACCTTGTGATGCTTTTAGGAATCATGAGGATTGTCATCAGTACCAGGCAGCCATCTGAATCGGCACCAACAATGCATAAAGGATCTCACAATTCACGGTCGAACAAACTCAATGTTTTTATTCACAAAAATATTTGTAAATTATTTTGGTAGAGTTGACCAACATTCCCTTGCAATCGGGAATGTGCGAAAGTCAAACTCTGATGTTCCCATCAACCATGTAACATACTTTTGAACTGTGCTGATATCTCTTCTCTCAACTAAAATGCCCTCTCTACTCCTCCTTTGGAGTCTAGCCCTGGAAAGCCTGACACTGAGCTTGCATAGGGCTCACTGAGAACTGAATTTGGCTACTACTGTCCAAAGGTCTCAAGTAAAGAAAGCAACCACCTTCTTCTGCCGTATGTGTCCATATGACACCCAGATTTCACACACACAGATCCAGCTGCAACAGTTTATTTACAAACAACACTAGAGGTTCCTTGGACCAATCCCAGAACCTGCATAATGATACCTAAACAGTTCCCAGCCCAAGAAGCTGTAGGTAAGTTTGCAAATAATTTCTCAGAAACACTCCTCCCTTCCTCCTATCACTTTCTACAGAGAAATGCTCAGGTATAAGTTAGAGGACATCGCACTGTTGCCCAGGAAGGAGAGGTTCTCAAGTGAAACCAAGACCATAACCCGTTAGCAGTTGGAACCGACAGCGCTAGGGTCCTTTTTTAGCCAATTTTGGACTGAAGGTACGTATGACATTCTCCCCGAATATTATCCGAGTATATTTAAAGGATGTGCCTTTAAAACAAAAACAAAACCCTTCCCAAACAAAACATTCCACTGCATGCACAGTTCTTCCCCTAGGGAGAGGAAGGGAGAGAAAGAGAGGGAGAACAAACCAAATGTGACAGATGTCAATGATGTTGCTTAGCGTATGACTTGAAGGTGCTCAGATACTACAGCAATTGTGGTAGCATAAGCACCTGGATAGACTAGAATAGTATCAAATAGAATAGGGAGAGAAAAATACAACCATCTCCCCAGTGCAGAGAGCGGAGCAGATTTTTAAAGGAACACGGTCGCCTTCCTGGAGCTCAGACTCACTTGTTGTAGAGAACAATATCCGGCCTCCAAATGAGTTCTGAAGGGATGCGGATGGATGTAACGTTCTCGTATTCCAGAGGATCCCAGCGCAACTTGTAGTCATACCACTCCTGGGAAAAACAGATCCATTACCAGGGACTGAGAGGAGTTAGAATTGAAATATACATGGAAAACAAATACAAGAAAACACCTTTTGGGCTCACCCACCTGCTTCACCCACATGTTCGTGGTCATCATTTGATTCTTCTCATCCTGAAACAGAAAAGCCACAAGCTCAGAAAGCAGAGGCATGTTTACTGGAGTCCGTTTTTGTAATCAGAAATAATCTCAGCAATAAACATATTTTTCAGCTAAAAAAGGCAGATGTTGCTGGAGTTTAGCATGGGGCAGAACGCACCTGTCTGATACCACCAAACAGCTGAGTCTAAGACGAGGCAGTCTTGGCAGATGACCAACTTGGATTTGTTTAACAGATTTTCCTAGAAATGTGTGTACTAAGGAGACTTTTGTTTTGAAGGACATTATAAGGCCCAGCCAAGATGAGCTCAGCACAGCACCATTGGGGGGGGGGGGAGGGGAGAAAGAAGAATCCACAGCCCCCACCACAATGGGGGTAGGATTGTTACATTAGTCCATCACTCCTCCCCCAGTTGCCTGCTGAGCACAGCTTCACGGGGACTTCCAGGGAAGCTGTCCTATTGAGAACCAACCACATGCCCCTTGCAACTTCTCCCTTGGCAGGGCAGTACCAATCTGGCTGCAGACGTGGGGGTCTGTGGATATGTCCCCTGCACGATTTACCTTCGAACTTGTCCACAGACAGTTCCCCAGCACTTCCTTTCCTGCATTGTTCTGACTGCTTGGAAGTGATGCTTTGTGCCAGACGTGCACTTGCCCTTCTTGAGTTTAAGGCCATTATCGATGGCTCTCTGCCTTTAGCTCTAACATGCATCTCTCCTCTCCCAAGTGTGTTCTACAGAGAACACACTATAGTACTGTGCTAGGAAGGAAGCTCCGGTGGTTAAGATTAGAACCAAGACCCCCCTGTGCTCTTACCCCTTGCCTCATTCCTCCAGAGCACAGACTTTTTCACACAGACCTATCACAGAACCTAAGGAAATTCCTATAGCAAATTGGTAGCTTTCAGATAGACTTGTAGTGAGAACTGGGGGGGCTGGTTTACCTGTATTCAGACCTTGACACTTTGCCCTGAAAGTGTAGAGTCTAAAGCTCTTCTACTAGCTATTTGTTCACTTCTAAACTATATGCTTTTCCTGAGTTAGGAGATCTCTCTCAGCTGCAATGATTGCTCACACAAGCATTGCCATTTCGTTTAAAATGTTCTTCTTTGGAAAACAATTCATATTTTCCTAACCCCTGCTTGTCTCTTTCTCTCATTTATAAAAAATGAATTTAGCACTGATAAAAAGTGACAGCTCAATTGGCAGCTGTTGGAGACTGAAACCCTCTTTTTATCCACAAGAGATGCAATGCCGGTGAAATCTTCCCCTCAGTGTCCTGCCAGATCTAACCTGCAGGGACCGTCTAAAGAGATGGTGGCTCAGTCTCCAGGCTTGTTCAATCCTTGGCTTTTCTTGTGCAACTGCCAATAAAGGTGCCAGCTGGTGCTACCGGTGAGAATAGCATTTGCAAATGGGACATCTGTCCATGGGGATCGTTCATATAGGTCACTGAAAAGCCATCAGGAGGTGAGAACTATTGATTGTTACCAACTTGGGCTGGATTTGAACTGGTCAAGAAGAAATTAAAGGCTTTATATCCTCTAATCTCTTGAGTAATTCACTCCTCCCAAGACCTGTTTCTGAGTGCAACACAGCGTCATTCTTTTTAAAAAAAATCTGTCTTGCATTTTTTATACCTAGAGTGAATTAAGGCTCAAATTCTCCAGAAAAAAAATGTGCATTTTGTGCATCTACTTTGGACATGTAAGTACTAGGTTGGTCGTTGCTTAGATTCCAGTATAATCAGGACCATCGGTAAAAATTTCAAAAGTGTCTGAGGGACTCAGGAGCAGAGCTGGCCAAAACTTTTCAACCAAAACATTTTTTGGCAGAAAAAGTAGATTCAGTGATGCCAAAATGTTTCACAAATTCATGTCCATTTCGCTGATTTGTTCATGCCGAAAAAATCAACCCCAATTTTCATTTTGACATTTTTTAATGAAATGTTTTGATTTTTCAATTTAAAACAGATTTTCATTTAGATAATTTTCTTTAGTTTTATTTTTTAAAAGGTAAAATATGTTTTAAAATCCTCTAAACTACAATGAAACATTTCATTTGACCCAAAACAATTTTTTTCAAATTTTCAATTTGCCAAAAATTTATAAACATTTCATTTTGGATTTGACCTGAAATTATTATTTTAATTTTTCAGAACTGCCAGTGAACTGAAAAATCCATTATTCACCCAGCTCTACTTAAGAGCCTAACTCCCACTGAAAGGGACTTACGCTCCTAAGTCACTGGGGTTGAGATTTTCAAAAATGCCTCAGAAATGTCAACGGGAGTTAGGCACTTAACTGTCATTTCTGCCTTTGAGAATCGCCACCTTAGGCACTTTGGGAAATATTTCCTCGTATAAACATGACAGATACTCGGTTGCAGTAAACGCATAAGCACATAGCTGCTTAGATGTATATTCGATCATTTCTGTGTGCATTTACCACATTTGCACACACAAATGCAGTAAGCATGTGTACATGGCCAGCTGCATGTGCAATTAGTCCTTTGTCTGCACATTGACCATGTCTTAGTGTGCAATCAAGCAGCGTTCATGTGCATTTTGTATGTGAGTTATGAAAACTTGGGCACCTGCAGTATTTACATTTCTACAAAATATGTTAACTTAAAACACTACAAATTCGCTTTAGTGACCAAAACTATGTGAGTCACTCTGCAAACATACAACCTGATGATAGCTCCGATGATCTATACAGCTCTTTGCGTGTTTTGGGGTGATAGGCTCTTTCTTGTGCTAAACGTGAATGGAGTGTTAAGTTACAAAATATAACTATGTATAAATAAATGAAATCCAATGCAAGGCATGCAAATTGCTCAGCTGTCACTAATACAATTTAATTGAACTGTTTAATGTTTGCTAGTTTGCTTGCATGCTAATTACAGCTTCTGTGTAAATAACCAAAGAAAAGTGCTTTGGACTCTGTTCAGTTCTCACAGTTTAAGGTGCTGGATTTTTGTTTGTTTGTTTGATCTCCTCATTGGCAAGGCTTCAAAACAGCTCAGATGTCAGTGCTTTTTTGAGCGAAAGCAGCTCACTATTAACAGAGGAACGGAGGGGTTGTGGTAGCAACACAGTTGAGGGTGGAATTTAACTGCAGAGTCTCTTTTCCCAAGGTGAATATGCTGCACTCCATGCTACCCAGCAGAGAGGGGCGTAGGAGGTAACTGGGTTCTATCTAGTCTGTTCTGAAACCTATGTCTCAGTCTCATAGTCACTTAGTCCAGTACCAAACTTTCCTCAGCTCAACAGGGTGAAGTAAGGATACAGCAGGACAGTGGATTTGATATTGAGTTTTCTGGCTTTTGTCAGTCCGAGTCGGGATTTGAATATTGATCCTGATTTGCTTTTTTTTTACTTTTTGCCATTGAGATGTGTCTAGAGGAGAAACAAACTCCATTGAAAAGGGAAGGCTGCGCTTTTAACACCATGTCTGACAATCATGCTAAGTTTTCTTAAGGAATGCTGCTGTGGTAAGAAGGGGGATCGTTAGACAGACACTCAGCTGGACTGGGAACATGATACAGGAATTGTATCAGGGAAAGGGTTATACAGGAACAGAGAGAACCTTACTGAAGGAGACGGGGAATAATTAACTAAACCTCAGCTGTTTTACAACCCTGCCTGTCGACTGCAGTTTTAAACACAAGAATATGACTTTTACAGGGTATATTCTTCCTAGGTAAGACAAGAAAAGCACTTCAAAGCACAAGTATTGATCTCACCGTTCATGATTGGGTAGTTGCATAATAGAAAGCATCTCTTATGCCACCACAATCGTTGATGTACCATCTTTAATCTCATCAATTATTCAGACGAAATGCATACAACCTAAATACCATCAATGACAGATTTGGGCTCCTCAGCCGTTTTGTTCTGCGTGTGTACAGCACCTTGCACGATGGGGTCCCGGTCCATGACTAGGGCTCCTAGCTGCTATCACAATAATAAAATAATAATCAATGCTAAGCTCTGTTTTTTGAAGTTGTTTGAGCAAAGGCTTATATATAAAAAGATACACAACCCCTCATGCATATATGCCATTCATTTCTCAAATACCTGTATTAAATTGTATACTGCACAGATATCTTTGCCACATATAACATGGTTATAAATGTGAAAAATTGTGGAACCGTGTGCATCACTAATCTACACTCCTCTGACCTCTACTCTGACCACTAATCTAGTCTACCTGCGACTACCTCTAACATCCCAAACATGAATGGACTCTTCTTTGAAACCACCCACCACAGAACCATTTTCTAATTTCCACCCAAAAGTAGAATTTACCCCTCTCAATTACAATGGCATGAGGCCCAATATGGACAATATTCAACCAGGGAGATGTTTAAGGCCTGAGATCTCATGACTTATGAAGGCTAGAAATTGGACCTTCTTACTACTGGAAAAGGGACCTTCTTTTCTTCCCAATAGAACTCAGCAATCTGAGTGGAAGAACCATAGGGGTCATGATAACATTATGGGTGGATAAACTAGTACAGGTGTTTTAAGAGGTCTGTAAACTGTATTAGCTGGAATATTTATCTGAGTCACATATGGCTGAACCCAGGATGCAGCAGCCTCGCTTCTCAGAGGGAGGAATATGAAAGTTAGCACCAATATTTCTTTCTCTCTAATCCATTTCAAAAATAGTGATTCTGTTACATAGGCGGCATATAGAGCGTGCATGATGGTGTAGTATGGTATAAAGAGTTAATAAGCACTCATCTGGAATGACCTGTAAAATTCATGTATAGCTTTACTGTTTGCGTATAAGCACAAACTCATGCCAATCATTCTTGTGTACTATACTACACCATCCTGTATGATCTTTCTTCTCTCTCTGTTACATGCATAAGAACATAGTGTACATATAGGTTTCTATTTAAGAAATAATTCAGACAGCTTCCAAAAAATTAATATTCAAAACAGAGATGCATGTGCACAGACACACACACTGGCATGCAAAATTAGTTATCTGAGTTCCATGTGCAAATTGGTACTTGTGCATACAATCATGCTAGAACAGTAAAATGCAGATTTGTGTGGGTGTGGAATCATGCACTTGTTTTCTTCTTTGAAAATTGAGCTCCAAGTGCCATAAAATCATGTCCTTTAAATACCATGCCAATGCATATGCCTGACTCATAATAAAAATCAATCCATTTTGTATGTCATCTATATTTTGTATACATGTAGATTCCCTTTGAGCAAACATGCAAGAACATTTTCTCTCAGCCACTATGCCTCAAAGCAGCCAAAGGACGTTCCATGTGAAGAAAGAACTTTGGGATCCTTGGATAAGATAAGTAATAAATGTGTAAACTATGTATTATGAATACTAATTACAGATCAAATTCTAAACACCTTACTTGTTTCTTACTCAGCCAAAATTCATTCCCTCAAAACTCCCCTTGAGCTTAATAGATCTATCTATGGATTTTATACCATGGACTTTCCCTTGGTTTCAGAAAGGGCATCACATTTTTTACTATAATTAATAAATAAATAATACAAGACCACCAGACTGCACACCTCGATGAGCAGTTATTCGCATGAGTTCTCCCATTAGTTTCAATAGAACTTGTTCTTATGGATAACTGTTCTTCGGTGTCAGTAAGATATTCATATTCTGATCGTGAAATAAGTCAGCAAAAACCGCACACGCTGGCTTGCATCTGGAATCACTCCTCACCCATGACCCCTAAAATCTCCACTGCTTATAGGTACAGTCAGTTTCACTTACCACGTCAATGAGCTGCGCGATGGACAATCCGAAATGGACGAGAACCACGTCCGAAATGTTGGCTACAGGTCGGGACCACTTGTTATAGCCAGAGAAGAGTTTCTTCAGGAGTCTCTCCTCTGCGTGGGCTCGGGTTTCCACATGGCTGCACACTGCAGGGAAAGTGCGAGACATGAAAGTGTGAAACGTTTGTAAGTTAGGATGACCCGAGCAGAGACATTTGGTGTGGTGGAGAGGAGGGGAGTGCTTCATCTTCCTCTCTCCCTGAATAGGCCCCAGCCCTTCTGTCCTTTGCAGACAGACTATGATGCAAGTCCTACTTATAGATGCACAGCACCTAGATACCGTGGTGATGGGCACATTAGAAATGCAGACAGGTAGAGGAGGAAAGAGTATAGGTGGGCATGACATGGCAGTGACAGGACACCCCAGTGGGACTGGCCTGCACCTTTCAGCATCTACAATGCCATAGTTAGTTCACAATGTGGCATGGAACAGCATCTAGGAACTGTCTTGGGGGAGGTGGAGATTGTTAAAAAGCATTTGAAATACACTGCGTGGACTGTTCTCCTGTTAAATTGGTTCGGCCCCTTTGTGGATGCCAAGCAGCCCCAGTCTTGGGAGAATATTAGCAAGGTCAGGCTTTGAAGCATGGAGTGGGGCATATGAAAGGGCCACTTGCTCTGGACAGGGCAAGAAGAGGTTTTCGGGGGGAGGGGGGAAAATGGGACCAGGACATCAGTTCAGGGGCGTGGGGGGTGCATGTGTGTGTGCCAAAGAGAGAGAGAGAGAGTCTGTGATTATGGAGATGAAACACATCAAAAATCGACCACTATCAGACCAAATTTCAACCCCCTGAGCAAAGCAAGAATGTCCTGGTCCAGTAACTCAGGGGTCACTCCTGGCTGCAGCATCTCTGCGTCTGTAGTAGAGACAAAGGCGAACGGGGTCTGGTTTGGGAATTAGCTGAAGTGAAGAGCGCACAGTCCCCCTCACTGATGACTTTAAAAGTTGGAGGCTGCAGAGACTGGCTCCCCGTTCACTCGGGAGTCACTGTCGGTGATTAAAAATTAAAGCCAAGCATCGCGGAGGCAGACGCCAGGAAAGGTCTCTGGTCTCTGCTGAATGTGCACAAAGGCGAGGGAGGATCTGGGGAGAATGGGGGACTCAGCCCCGGGGCTCTGCCGCCCCTCTCCAGCTCTCATGCACCGTGGTCCTTAGTTATTGTTTTGTCTGCCCTGGGTTACATAAAAAGGAGGCTGAGCGCGCACCTCCCCGTCCACCTGAGCTGCAGCTGGGAGACACATTAACACACCGGGGGGGACCAGCCAACAGCGAGGGAGAGCAGGACTCGAGCGTTTAAATCCCCAGTGGGGTTTAACCCTTTCCCACCCAAGGAGCAGAAAATCAACACAAAGCAAGACAGTATCATGCAGGGGGGGAGGGGATCCTCGAGGGATCTGATGGAAAGGAGCAGGTGGTTCTTTTAAGGGCGGGGGTGGGGGGGAGGATTCCTTGCTGCAATGGGACAATCTCCAGGTGGGGCAGGGGGAGGAAATTGACCAAGGTGGCAGGGAACCCTGCTCTGACACTTACCAGGGAAGACGTTCGCGCAAAGGAAGAGGAGAAGGTTCTCTTTAGAAACTAGAAATCCCATCGCGGAGCCGAGCTCAGTTTCTACACTGCAAAGTCCCTCTTCGCAGCAACTTTTTTTCTCTGAGTCTCTGGATCTTCCAGCTTCATTCCCTCAATCTCCCCTCCTCTCTCTCTCTCTCTCACACACACCAGTTTCTTGGAGGGGGCGGTAGGTTTATTTGCCTCCTTCTGCTCACCGCGATTTCCAGCTCTTCCTCCTGGGAGTCCTTCTCTTTCCTAGGGCACAAATCCACGCAGATACTTTAAGGGGTTCACAGGTGCAGCTGCAAGCTCTTTTTTTAACTACACAGCCGCCTTTGGTTTTCTCCTCCCCGCTTTCTCTAGAGGACAGGGGTTGGTTTGCTTGCTTAGTTTGTTTGCGGTCTGTTTTTCATAGCAGAGCTACCGCAGTTTTCCCCCCTTTGGTTTTTCTTTGCTCAGATTGGTCGCTGCTGATGGTCCATGCAAGCCAGTGAAAGCCCTTGGCAGAACAGAGGGAGATAGTACAGTATGTTTGCATATTTAATCCACTTGGACCTGCCCACCTCCTGTCTAAAGAAGGGGGAGGAGAGAATCCGTGTACTTCAGCAAACAGGCTGCAGGAAAGGAAGATTTTTAGAATGGGGGTAATTCTCAAAGGCCAGGGCTCCAGACAGGAAGGGAATTTGGTTCAGCTGCAGTCTTTGTGGTGCCTGAACCCCAATACATATCTGAATGGAGCAGGCCCAGATCTCCAGTTAATTATTATTTATTACCCCATAAAATCAACTTTTCATCTGCGGTTCTTTACACTATATTTATTTTGAAAGCAAGAGGGAAAGGCCTGGACTTTTATTCCTTGCATATTATTTATATTATTATTATCATTATTGTGCAAGAGACCCATAGTGCTAGATGCTGTACAAACATTTAGTTAAAAAAGACAGTCCCTGTCCCAGACAACATCCTAATCAAGACTGTGATTAAGGGGCTTGAATACAACTTTATGCTGCAAACTGTCCTGCTGAAGTTGATGGTGCTACTTATGGAGTAATGGATTATTTGCTGTGAGTAAAGGAGTTGCAATCTGGCCCTACACCAACTCACTCCTTCTAATGATTTCAGTGGCGAACACCAGAATACAGAACTGAGCCCTTTCTGCTTCACTTTAAAGCTTGCCCCTGCTATCATGTTATGATTACTTCCACAAGGCTAGGAAATGGATTGTGTTTGCAGATGTAGCTAATTACTTCCACACTGTAAAGTTAATCAAAGTCTGTTCTAATAATAAATCCATAGTTTATATATATATATAGTTTCCTTTCTCCCAAAGCATATCAGGTGCCTTTTAATGAAATACATAACAAAAATAATACCTAGGTCTTTTATGTCACTGACAACAGGTAGGTTTAAAGCAGCCCAAGACATTAAATCTATTCTAAAAGCATGAGTAAAATCAATGTGCAGTGCCAATCTTCTCTTCTCTTTCTCTTTCATACTACACCCATCAGCAGGGCTGCTCAGAGGATTGAGGGGGCCTGGGGCAAAGCAATTTTGGGGGCCCCTTCCATAAAAAAAAGTTGCAGTACTATAGAATACTATATTCTCGTGGGGGCCCCTGTGGGGCCCGGGGCCTGGGGAAAATTGCCCCATCAGTGTGGCATCCAAACAGTATGCGCTTCTTCAGAAGGGGGCTAATTCCATGGGCCTCCTCTGGCAATAATATATGCAAAGAAAGAAGTGAGAGAAAATTACGGAACGGAATGTTCCAGCACTGCATTGTACATTATTACTGCGCCAGGATCAGGTTAATATTCAAAGAACCTGGCCAAAGATTCTGGCTTGCTACTCATGATACCTCCTGAATGTCCAGTGCTTCGAAGCACTAAGCACCAGGCTTCCCCATTGGCAGCAGTGGATCAGGATCAGGCCCTGATAGGGCCAAGAACTCTCTGTGACATGCGCCCTTAGCCAGCTGGTGCCCTTCTTAGTAGAAATACAGTCATTAGTCTATGAAGCAGCTGTAATTTCCCACTGTCTCCTTCTGGACTAAGTTGCCTGCATAAGAAAAAGTCAACAAGTGTCTATAATAATAACACCTGCAGGTACTCATGATTCTGATTACTCCACTGTTTCCTTGTAAATTCCTCCAGACAATCAGAGACAGTCATTTATCCCTTTGGAGAAATTCAAAACTCCTTTATTTTACCTGGAAATCACATCATATTTTCCTCTGGTGTCTATGGGAAAGGGTTGGTAGATCTCAACCCCATACCTAGGTAAAAGTTTATTTTCTATCTATCACCTAGATACCTATCTGGCCCCTATCCCCATATTATCTGAGCAGCGTAGAAACATTACTGAATTTATCCCCACAACACATTTATGAGACAAGGAAATATTATTTCCATTTTATAGATGGGGAGTAGAGGCACAAAGAAATGTCAAAAGAACAGGAGTCCTTGTGGCACCTTAGAGACTAACAAATGTGTTAGTGTCTAAGGTGCCACAAGT